TACTGCCGACCTAACTGTCTAGAAGTCAATTTCTACATTTCGTTCGCGTGTTCACCCAACTCACTTTTCTGATCATGACACGTGGCAGGCCAGGATTCGCCTCCAACAAAGTCTATCATTGATACTTGAAATTGCTTAGTTATAATTCACTTAGTGAATAAAGGTACTTATTATCATTGTAAAAATTCGATGTTGAACTATCTAGCAGTTGATTTACTTGGTACATAGAGGCTAAAGTCCGATTGAGCTCATCTTGTGAGGCATAATTTCGACGAAGGTGTTCAAGCTCGTCAGCAAGCCGACCAGCAAATACCATTAGGCTAGTAAACACCTGAAAGCAAAAAGGAATCCAAGTAAGTATGCAGAAAATAAAGAAAAAAGATAAAAAGGTAAAATCACGTAATAAAAAGAAGAATAATGCTAATTAGTGGGAGATCAGTAAGGCATCAGTTAACACTCTGCTGTGGATTAAAATATCCCGAATCGGATCCTACAGGCGTGTCAACAACTCCTTGCCACAAACTGAAAGCCCTTTCAATGTAGGCAATTTCACTGCTGTCGGAGGAAGTACAATCCTTTGAAAGAAAAAGCAGAGAGATGTGGGGTAGAATCTAGGTTGCTATGAGAGGACGAGGGGTAGAAGCCTCGTGAAGTCAGACTGAACGACAACGAGCAATTGGGGGCAACAAAACGGGTGCCATATTGATGAAATGGAGGCTCATCATCAGTCAAATATATAGTATCAATTTCCAAAGCCCGACTCAACCCAACTCCCGCAGTCGTACTGCACCTTTATTCTTGCTTGAATAGTGAACTCAAGCGCCTTGACGACCTTAAAATGAGTGAAATTATGAAGAAAACGTCAAATAATTACCTCAGTCAAGAAGCCAACATGAAGCATAAACGAAATTAGCAGTAACCTTAATGCTTATCTAGAGCTCGCTAGAAAGTTACGAGACGAAAATCCACTAGATCCCGCTTCTTCACAAAAGACAAACCCCACCACTCTCCTTCGTCTAGGTGAATAATAGCTTTGTAAAAGGCCAAGGCGGCAGGAGTAAGACTTGGATGACGAGGGACAAAGCAAAATCAGTAAATGAAGGTAAAAGACATAGTTGTTATAGAGCAAGGGAAGATACTGACCCAAACCCCTGCACCATGTTAGGACCGGAAAGTGTAATTCGTTATTATCACAGGCAAGTCAATGACCACTAACGAAAAACCATTGATATTTTTAATTCTACATAGAGGAATGATCAATGATCAAGCTTGCCTTCGTGAGCTGACATAAAAATGGAGATTGTACTCGGGAATGTGCTTCATATAATAAAACGACATAAAAGTGGGAGCAGTCAAAGGGAGATCATCACAAAGGAATGAACACAGAATATAATAACTAATTAGAGTGCACTAACTATTAGGAACAATTAAGCATGAGCAAATTTATTATAAGGAAGTTTTTGAGAAAAAGGGGAAGAGGCAAACGAATACCAAAATTAAACATAGCTAAATGGAATACAAATTCTCTTAAAGAAGACCTATTGACACTCTCACAAGGTTGAGGAATCCTAAAGCTGATCGATTAAGGAATACCATACTTTTCATGAAGATGATGCAAATCATCCTCGGTTATGACAGAACGATCAAGCCAGCAAATCGATATGTTTCAAACTCAGAAGATGAACTCGAGGAAACTGCATCGTCTAAGGTGGTCCATCCGACATGTAAGCTACTATCCGACTTCACATAAATCAATAAGGAAAAGTGGAAAAAACAAATTACCTTTTGAGAAAATTAGAATTGAAAGGTAAGGAACAATAGGTAGCTTGAAGTGTGTAAACAAAGAAGGTGGAAGGGGCCTTATATAGGCGAAATAAAAAATAAAGGGGCTTGGATGAAGTAGTTATAGGACAAGTGGTCCATGCTCGCTAACCACTGGTCCGAATAAAAAATCGGATCAATCAGATCAGATAGCTGACCTGGTCGATCACGGGTCTAGTTGGGTCAGATCACATGGTTTAACGTGACTATACCACATAGTTTCATGTGATTAATGTGGTTTCCAAACCACATGAGTCGCATAGTTGACCAGTCAACCTTACCTCTTATTTTGAACTTCCCCTTTTTTTTCTTTACGCCTTATAAACGGGCTAATTACTCAACTCGAAATTACTAACTTTGGAAAATCTACCTGAAGCCTATTTCGATAAATGTGACAAAACACGCTTTCAAGGTAATGAATACACATGTTGAAATCCCAACCTAAAGAGTGGGAGAAATTTTTATGGGTAGATAAAATCAAACTTCACCAAGCTACAGAGGAGACCCAAGATGGGAGAAGGCCAGACCGAAAGCTTAACCAAAGTACAAAGGCCTAACCCACAGAGGATAGGTGGTCCAATTGGCCGAAGCTGACTAGTTCTCGGTCGTCGTCGAAAACTGTGGCAGTGACCCTCCAACAATCTTTGAAGACAGACCTCGAGCCTTCATGTCATGATAAAACTTACGATGGGCCAATAACCAATCAACTCAACATCTGACCCGTGACAAGGTATTAAAGTCCAAAGGGATAAGTTTTCTAGGGGCACAAGGATTCCACCCGTGTAAATAGGAGAGGCTGAACCTTAAAGTATGCTAAGTAACCCTACATTTTACGATCGTCAGCTTTCGATTCTAAACATCAACATTGGAGTTTATGGGGCTCGCACCACACCGGTATTCAGCACTATACATTTTGTTTGGCAGATTGACGTCAAATCCTTTTTTATTATTGAAGATTGGTGCAAAATTTGGAAAATCAGGAATGTCAAATTTCTGCATCAACAACCATATTTTATATCTTAAAAAATAATTTGGGCTAGAACTTTTTATTTAGACCTGAAATTTTAAGTTTGTGTGATATTCCTTTTTCTTATTTTTTTACTTGTTTAAAAATACTTATAAAACTTTTAGTCAATTTTATGTTTTTAAAAATAAAAAATATTTTGTATACTAAAAACTTTGTTTCGGAGTTCTCAAAACTAAAGAATAAAAGCAAATATAGTATTTTGTTTTGGGGTAATCATCTGTCGGTCGAAATTGGTTTGGACTCAAACCAACACTGACTATCGACAACTTTAATTTCTATCGGTTGGAGCTCGACGGTTTTAGAAGTCTCCACGACGTTGATCGACCAACTACACGACAGTCGATCGGTCTTGATCGATTTGGTGAATATGAAGGAGAGAAGAAGAAAACGGAGAGAAATATAAATGGAAGAAGAAAATAAAAGAAGAAAAATAAAAAATGAGAAGAAAAAAGGAAGGGGAGAAGAAGAAAAAGGATAACAAAAAAAAAAGAGAATAGAAATTGTTGGATGCGAATTGGGGCCTGCCACGTGTCACGGTAAGAGAGGTAAGCCGATTTGACGTGCGGATGGAATTAGAAATTTTCGTAAGGATTGTTCAGGTCAGCGGTTACAGATCGAGCTAAGAGGACGAGCCGACCTGAACGAAGTCCGTAAACGTGTCTCTTCTGAACCCGACAACACGCCGTATTTTTAGGGTGTGTCAGAGTTCTTGTCGGGCCCAGTTTCTATAAATAGAAACCTTAGCCTTAAATGCAAGGTACGCAATCTTAGGTAGACTCGGTAAGTTAGCTCGGACCAGAACTGACTTGCTCGTCGGAGTGTTAACTTTGTTTTGCAGGTCTCGGGAGTATTCGGAGGGGGTGCTGGGCAGTTGGCTATAGTTCGTCCTGACCGTTCCGATATGTTTCGTACTCGAGCTCACCCATTTCGAGCTCAAACAGAAATGGAAGAAGAGAAAGAAGGAAGAAAAAGGAGAAAATGGAGAAGAAGAGAACGATGAACCTCTATGGAAATAAACAAAATAAAATAAAAGGAGATTGGAGAAGAGAACCAGAGGGGAAGTGGAAGAGACAGATAGAAAGAAAAGAGAAAAAAAAAATGGGAGATGAAGTCAGGGGAAGTAGGAAACTGATGTGAAAGGGTAAAAAAAATAAATAAATAAATAGAGAGGTGAAAGGAAATAGAATTTTGAATATAAAAATAAAAGATCACATCACATTACGGCTAGTTTTCCAAATGCACAACTGCTTCAAAACTATTTAATGCTCATATAATTTTTTATTTTATTTGTAAGTTTATGTTTGATAGGATTTAAAAAAAAGTTGGTTTTGGTTGGAAATAACATTTTTCGACCATATCGATCCATAATAAGTCGATTTTTATTCTTTCTAAAACCGACTCCGGTGAGTCATTTAGTACCTCACAACTCACGTTGATTCCGTCGATTTTGATCGGTCGGATTGATTTTTTTGGAAGCTTTCGCTCCCACTTCATTGTTTTTCTTGTTGTCATGAATTTTGTTTAGTGTTTTCCTTATCTAGGCCGTGTTGTACATTACCACTCCAACCCTCCATGAAATTACTTTAAAAAATTATTATAATTTTGACATTTTTACAATTTTATGCAATAATGTATCTAGAAAGAATCAAAGAGACTAATCATATATAATTTCTTCAAGAATTAACTTTTAAATGCTGACCACATTTTATTTTTTTACTTTATTATTTTTTTTGAAGGTGTCGGAAAATGAGTTACATCTGCTCACGAGAAGCAAAAACTCATCTAATATATCAGCTATCAACCTTGCAGAAACATTTTTTTTCTTTTTTCTTCTTCTATGGTCACTGTAATGTGATTGTCAATTTTATAACCATCAGATACAAAGTAGGTTTTTTAAAAAAATTATGTAAGACTGATAATTTTATTGTATTAATTATATTAAATAATTTTTGTGCTACCCTTAAGATTTTAAAATGTCGATGTCGATGGGGATGTAGGTGTCTCAATTTTATAGAAAGATAGATATTTCTATAAAAGTTTAAAAATTAAAAAATCTTAAGAAATGTTTTAATTAACACAAACATTTTTCTATTCTAAATAAGTTAGAAATAATTAATCTTCATATTTTTGTATATATTAGTGACATTGTGTTGATACTTTTTATATTTTTTCAATTTTTTTTAATATGATGAAAATATTGATTTATCCTTCATGTCCACGRTCAACATTATGGATACAATGAAATGCAAGATATGCAAGATATGCAAGTCTATTGAATAGCAAATGGATTGAAATTTGATATTAGAAAAAATAATTAATATGCAATGAAAGCCATGATGGTAAGTTAATGTTTATAATATCTTCACAGAAATTGAGATCAAGATTTTTATTTGTGCACCACTCTTGGATATTGCTCTGGGTAATGAAGAAATTATTACAGTCCATGGGAGCATTTTATTTTTAATAACTTGCGGCCTTAAATAGTTATACTGCAAAGTACAAATTTCTACATTTTCATGTATTCATAGATTCAATATCCTCAAATTGATAGGAAGAGTGGATCGACATTTCTATAGTATCTTAAAGAAAATCAACAACATATAAAAAATATCAAAATAATATCACTAACATGGACATAATGCTTATTTTCTTAAACTTATTTGAAAAATTATGAAATGCTCTTTTTTTAATTAACATATTTGTTACGATTTGGCATTTTATCGAAATCTCATCATATTGAGATATCGACTTTGATATTTAAAACTTTTGTTATGCATTAGAACTCATTGACAAGGGAGGTTTGGTTTTCTCTTTTTTTTTTCTTTCTTGAATAATCATTTAAAACTTTTTTATTTATTTTTTTTTTGGATTAAGGTTTTAAATTTGTTAATTCTTAAAATTGTTTGGAACGGTGCCGGTTTTTCCTCCCTGTTAATAAATATAATATGTTTGAATATAAGTTATGATTAAAAAAATTAAAATCTATTTTTTCCATACAATTTCAAAATTATTTCATAGTTGTCCAATTATTGTGGTTACTAAACTTTTATTTTGTTTCATTTTAGTTTCTAAATTTTCGGGAGGTCTATTCTATTCTTGAAACTTAAAAAATAACAAAATGTCTAATTTGTTTTTTTAGGGAAATATTTCTCTAGGATATTTATTTTCCTTTTAGTTAAGGATTTTGCCTCAATTGTTTTTAACTTTTTGGCCAATTTTTCCAAGGCCATTAAAAGCACTTTCTGTGTAGACGCTCAATTGTCAAGAGCATTAAACCTCTATGTAAATCTTGTGTGTGGCTTGTATGTCGTCTTAGAAACATTCAAACTTTTAATTGATCGTAAAATTTGCAGAGTGTTTCGAACTTGGAAAGTATGATTTGATCATTGCTTCTAAGATTTATACCTCACTACTAGAAATTCGGGTTTTAATGTCGGACAAAAAAAAGGTACGGAAGAAATAATGTCGGACAAAAAAACACGGAGCAAACAATGTCGGGCAAAGTAAAAAATACTCAAAAATTATTATTTTTAATTTTTTAAAGTTTTGATGTCGGGTCGCGCCTGCCATTGTAAGTATGCTTTTAATGGTGACTTCGCCCGCCATTGAAAGTGACCCATTTTAGCCCTAACTTAATATTTTTCCCCAAAATTTTGCGCTCTCAAAACTCCAGCCTCCCATCTCCCTTTGCTTGCGCGAAAGTCTCCCTACTCTCGTGTGAATCTATGTGAATCCAACTCCATTGTGAGCCGACGGCCATGATACGATGGCAAGCGACGTCTGGTGGCAAGGAGCAGTTATCCGGCGGTAGAGAGTGAAGATCTGCAGCAGCGAACGTCGATTTGACAGCAACAAACGATGATCCAGGACTCACTCATATTACAATATCCAAGGTTCTCTTCTTCCTCCTCTTCCCTTCCCTTCCCTCGTTTATTCGTGGAGTTAAAAGTGCGGAGCGACTGCTTCAAGAGAAACAGCAAGTTGAATGTCTGCTCGGATTGCCTCTGGAGAATTCACAGTCGAAAAAGCTAGGTATGAAATTATTTGTGTAGAACTATTTTTTCAATTTCTCGATTGGGGTGGGGTTCGCAAATTAGTGCTGGAACGGGTTTATTTTACATTTTGTAATTCAATCGGCATGTATAAGTACTAATTTTGATAAATTATTAATTCATTTAATTTTGATAAATTATTAATTCATTCTGCTGCTGTACATTTTCCAACTAGTGGGTTTCTAAATGTTTACTATGTGTTTTTTGTTTTCGGAATAAGTGTTCCTTCTATAATAAGGAGTGGCTTGTCAAAGATTGGTGTACCCAGTGAGGTTCTGGACACATTATTTGGTTTCGTCAATGCTCAAGAAGAATATCAGTAAATGCAATTTGAAGTGGGGCCTTCTTCATACCTCTGGACGAGCTTTATCTCAAGGTATGGTGGAATATTTAGGTTGACTTTTGGGCCAAAGGTTTGTTTCCTCTTAGATTTATAAGGTGCCATAACTTTTTCCACATTGTTATTAATTATAGGGTATGCCATAATTTATTATTATGTGTATATCTTGATCTTCTTGCTGTCATTTTTTATAGTTTCTGGATGGTTCAAGAGCATTAGATTTCTGATTTGTTTATTGCGAATATAATGTTGATTAGGTGAATTTGGAATATGTTGAAATTGGAAATAGCTATTTTCAGATTTTGGAATTTTTTACTTACCTTTGTTTGTATTAAAAATGGATGATAGATTAGATTCAACAACGGCATGACAGGTTTTAGCATTTTTTCCCCTCTGCTAAACTAAACTCGAGTTTTGATATTTGTTTAATTTTGGTGACCAAATTAATTTATTTAAACTTTAACCGTAGGATTTTGATAAGATGAGAGATGAGCTTTTATAATGGGTATTGGGAATTCATTGGATTTTTGCGTTTTTTCCTCCCCATTTTTATGGATCCATTATTGTTATGGATTCATTACATCGCATTAGTACAATTTGGAAACCTGTGAAGGTAAATTTGCATAACTCATATCAATGTTGCAGTAAATCCTTTGTATAACTCATAATTATGTTATTTTTCAAATTTTCTATATGTAGTGTCCTCGGCAATCAGGTTCTATCGAGTGTGGCAACTATCTGAAAAAGTATATACGAGAAATAGTGCGGAATCCTCATACTCCTATTACTGAACTTGTACGTTTTATCATATACCTTTATGTGTTTATATATGATTTGTCCTTATATTAGTATTATCTTTTTTTTTTGTAGTTTAATACAAAAAGTGCCTATCAACAAGAAGAAATCAACGAAGTTCGAATAGAATGGACATCCTTTGTTAGGCGATTTGTGTAGTACCTATGGATTCGTTAGTTTTGTTTATTTGATATAAGTATTTGATTCAGACTACTTTCTATCTAGTACTTGGTAAATTAGAAATGCTTTTGTCTTGTTTATAATATGTAGAAGTTTGAATGATGTATATATGGTACTGCATAACAGATTAGTTTTGAATTATTATAGAAGTACTCATCCCACATAACAGTGGGTAAGCTAGCAATTTAACTTCATTTGACTTATTTATAGTTTCTTTTATCCATGCATGAATGATAATATTATCATGGTTGTTATTAATAGTTTTCACTAGAAGTTGTTTGTTATACATCTCTGAGAGAATTGTGTTTATGTACTGGACTCTCTAAGAAGTAAGATTGAAGAAAATTATAAAGGAATCATAAACACGTAAGTGCCTTGAACTCTTATAGTTAAAATTTTTACAATTATGTTATTCTAATGTTTCAAATTATTTAGATTATTGAAAATGTGGCAAGCCAAACATTCTACTCAACAATCTCGCAGTACTACAATTTGGAAACCTGTGAAGGTAAATTTTCATAAATCATAACAATGTCGCAGTAAATCCTTTGTATAACTCATAATTTTGTTATTTTTCAAATTTTCATAGTGTCATCGACAACTAGGTTCTATCGAGTGTGGGTACTATTTGCAAAAGTATATACGAGAAATAGTGTGGAACCCTCATGCTCCTATAACTGAACTTGTACGTATTATCATATACCTTTATGTGTTTATATATGATTTGTCATTATATTAGAATTGTCTTTCTTTTTCTTTTTTTGTAGTTTAATACAAAAAGTGTCTATCAACAAGAAGAAATCGACGAAGTTCGAATAGAATGGGCATCTTTTGTTGGACGATT